CCACAATAGCCAAGATACGAGTGGAGGGTCTCTTGTCTCTTGGGCAGACCTTCCATCGCTGAGCGGCGACCGTGACACGACGCACAGTGGTTTTTTAGCGGCAAAAACCCCATTTTCTCAAGAACATTTTTCATCATAAACAATGTTAATTTCCTACTGCTAAGGGTTCACACTAACATAATTCAATGGTATTTTTTACTGTCATTCATTTTTAAGATTGCTGCAGGCTGCTAAAATCAGAATTTTTATCCTGTAGAAGATATTCCTTAAAACAGGCATTTTTTACGCTAAATTCAACTGATCCTATTTAATTCTAAATCAATTTTTTAGAGTAAAGGCTTTGATACCCGTCATCTCTAGTTCATATAGTTGTGATTTCTTGGGGTAGTTAAAAAAATAAGAAAAAAAATTCTTGAATGACGGGGATAAAACCGGATGTTCTTCGAATTTAAAAATAACTGCAGAATTATTGGCTTAAGAGGACTTTTAAAAAGCTGTCAAGAAATGTTAAAAGAATACAGGCACTTTCAGAGAGTCAAAGGTAAATAGTAACTGCCCTGAAAATATTTCAACCATATTCAACCATATTTAGAAGTTACAGGGGTTGAAACATAGCAAGGGCGCGAAAAAAACACAGTTTTCGAGACAGTTCGCGCGCTGCACCTCGTTATGAGGTTTTTGCCACTTTTCCTATAAGGAGGAACCACTGTGCGACGCGAGAATCGGGCATCCACCGAAGTGTCAACGCCGAAGAGCGCGAATGAAAGTTGCGCGAGGTGTTTGCGTTGCACGAAAGCTGGTGGCCGATGAAATCGGGGGTCAGAGTTCATAGAACAAATCAGGCGAGACGGCAACGCCAAGATGAGCCCTTGTTGCCGGTATCCAATCGTCTAGAAGGAACTTCCTATACTTACTTGTCTGATTATTGACATTGATATACATATCAATAGACAATTAAAGAAGACATAGGGAGTGTGGAGCGTTCTTATTGGTTGAAATAAGTGATTCTAATAGACCCAGGAGGTAAATGATGGCTAAATTACTGAGTCTCTCGCGGGTTGCTGTCAGGATGTCAATTGGTTACCCTCTTCGTCCATCACGACCACCCGCTTCTACTATTAGGATCCTTTCATTTTCCCTCGTCTCTTCCGTCCATGAGTCTGTCTGTTTATTTCAATAATCAGCCAGCTGAAGATTCTTTGTGGAAGGGACACTCCCGATAGAGATTTGAGAAAGCTCCCCCAGCCCTGAGGAGGAGAAGGAGGTTTCGGAGACCTTCGTATCCTGTCCTCATAAATAGCATAGTGGTGGGAACAATTTTTGCCAACCTCGGACATGATGCAAAAAATCCAAGATACCCGAAATGCAAACACCTCCTTTTTTTTCTCCATGAGATTCACCGTTACAACTTTGGAAATGAGTCCTTGATAGAAATTACAATGATTTGCCACTGCGGAAAGTTCAAAATACGAAAAAAATAACTCAACGATTTCGACAAACCTTAAGTTAGGTGCGACCTTCTCTTGAAATTTACAAAAATCGCAGTATATGTTGTCTCGTATTGTGTACTTTTTGCACTGATAAATGTTTATGATCCCTTCTAAGAACTCAGTTCCGGGTCATTCCATGCCAATTGGTGAAACTTTAAAAAAGTGTCCACCTAAGAATGCAATTTGGCACGCGCAGTGTACTAACATTGCTTAGTAAATACCAAAATGGAGATGTTGCATGTGTGAGAAATTTGGGATTTGACCATTGATTCTTTTGTAAAAGTTCGCGAGAAACACGATGGTGCCACTGGTTTTCTCTGAAATCGACTCGCAAGCACAAAAAAAGCTCTCAAAGTGAGGCCAAAATGGAGGGGATATCCCAACCTACCCTGAGAGTCCACCTCTACATTAAAACAAACTCTCCATGCAAAGATAGGGAGCAAATGCATTAGCAGTGATGCCGTGTTTTCAGTTTTGGAGTCCCCAAATAAAGTGGCAACCCTACCAATGTATTTGCTCCCTATCTTTGCATGGAGAGTTTGTCTTGATGTAGAGGTGGACTCTCAGGGTAGGATGGGATATTCCCTCCATTTTGGCCTTAACTTGAGAGCTTTTTTGAGCTTGGGAGTTGATTTCAGAGAAAACCAGTGGCATCATCGTGTTTTTCGCGAACTTTTACATAAGAATCAATGGTCAAATCGTAAATCCCTCACACATGCAACATTTCCATTGTAAGTTGATTCGACCACCCGTTGGGCTTTTATTGGACAATGGAAGTTCGCGAAAGTTGGCCTCTCTCGGGGGATGACACCGCTTTATTGATGTGTAACTTTGGAACGGTTCATCCAACATCAAACGTTCTGGTGTCATTGGAAAGCCCTGATAAAGCGCTTTTCAGATATGTGTAACAAAATTAGTCTTGACTCAAAATGTTTTTCTGGCGCTTTTAACTTACAAAACGATTTAACTCGAAATTGGACCTTTTGATTTCTTTGCAAATTTCACGACATGTTACACTTTCAACAACACTTTCGACAACGCGTGTGCAAAATTTCAGAGTGAAGACTTGGTGGAGTCGAATGTTACAGGAGGAAAAGTTGAGGGTGCGACCTGCGACACCGTGCCGCGGCTTACGCAGTCTCCCCTCCCGAGTTCCGGGAATCGTCCCCGAACTTGGGCCAAGACGGCGGATCGCGTTACAAGAATCTTTTGTGCCTATGTCGCTCGGCCCGAGTTCAGAGAACTCGACTCTCAAACGAGTTATATATATATACTTATATAAAGTCGCTTTACAACGCACTCTGACGTTCTACGACCCCCAAACGCCACATATGCTTATCTTCCCAGAGGTTATCGGGCAGAGGTTATCATGTAATCTGCATCTTCTTCATCTTGAGCTACTACGATCTGGTCATCGGCAAAGCATAGAGTATAAAGGGTCTGCCCATCAAGGAGTGGAACGATTTATACTTTCGAAAATTAAAATTGTGAGTTGAGCCCAATTTTCTTATACATGTCTGAAAAGCTCTCTTTCAGGGCTTTCCAACGACACCAAAACGGTTGATGTTGGATGAACCGTTCCGAAGTTGCACATGCACATCAATGAAGTGGTGACATCCTCCGAAAGAGGCCAAATTTCGCGAACTTTCCGTGTCTAATATAAGCCCAACGGGTGGTCGTTTCAAATTAAAATTTTGGTTTCTTATTAAGTTATGCATGTACACTAAGTATGCCAAAATTCTGAGGGGGGTCACTTTTTCAAAGTGGCACCAGTTAGCATGGATTGACCCTTTCGAATTTGTACTACATTTTGCAATTTGGAGCTATAAATTCTAGCCCGATTTAAAAACAACTTATTTGCCATTAGTTTCCCTATGCACATAAGTGTTTGAAGAGCCAGAATGGGCCTGTTGCATGCAAGAGATACAGCCGTGCGAATAGACTTTTGAGAGGTTAAATGACACGAAAATTACGATGCTCACATTAAAAAAGTCTGAAATACACTCCTTATTGCGCAATTTGCGTTGTCAGGAATGCGCTTTTTCAAATTTCCCGCGTCTGGGGGCAGTTTTCTGACGGAAACAATTAACGGCAACTCGCGGCTATTTCCGGTCAACTAAAACTGACAACATAACCTAAAAATCGGAGCTCGTGATATCGTGAAATGAAATGTAGAAGGATTGCGTTGGATATTTAAAAGTTGATCGATTTGGTTACTGCCTAAAGCGTATATGGACCACTATAAGAGATCACGTTGGGTTTGTAAACAAACTGAAGGGAAAAAATAACAACAACAACAACAACGACTCGACATCTTCCGGAAATCACCGAGCCCGCCGTTTGCTCGTTTCCGGTAATTAGAAAACTGCCCCCAGACGCGGGAAATTTGAAAAAGCGCGTGTATGTGTCCTCCCTCCCCCGCCCCCTTCAAAAAACCCACAGCTCATCATTGATGCTGTTTTGGAAGGCTTTCTTAAAGCTCCTTTAATCAGTGCGTGCCTAAATCAACTGGAGGCGCTTGCTTGCTCTAGAGTACCTGTATAGGGAGAGTAGCGACAGATCTGAAACTCCGAAAGTCCATCAGGCCTTCACCGATGCCTCCGCGAATAAAGTTAGGGCCCAAAAGGGCAGCCAACCTATGAATTTCGAATGTCCAGAGCGATTTACAAATACAATTGTTACGAACCGTCGTTTAGAAAGCATGTATTTGGTTTACTTTTTGCATAAATTTACTTATTTTTGCGAAAGAACGCTCATTTATGTACATTCTTAGCCATCTTGGTTAGAATTGAAATCTGTAGGCTGGCAGTGAAATTTTGTGTGTTAGAAGTTGCTCAGAAGGGTGGCTGCACTTTTGGGCCCTAAGCCCTCCATGAACCGATCTGTCGCTACTCTCCCTATACAGGTACTCTAGCTTGCTCCTTAAGGAACGACTATGAATGGATCGTATTCGATGGATCGAATAGATGAGAATGTATCGATATCGATTGGTTCAACACGTAATCATGGCCTCAAAAGTAAATTGAGTAATCTGAGGGAACAGATTTTTTGTGCTGGATGTTTTATTCTTATGAGTATAAAATGGCAATGAAAAGTGAAATTGTTAAGAATTTTCTCATTTTCAGCTTTTCCATCCTCAATCTTAATATGTTTGTTTGATATCATGTTATATTATTTTAAACCAAACAATACATCGAACCACTATCGCATACGACCCATAGAAATGGCGTGCCGCTGCCCACGCGCGCCAGCCGACAAGCAACGATCCTCCAGCCCCGAATTTCGAAGAGACCGGCATTCCAGGCGACGCGACTTGGCAATCTGTGGATCGGGCCCCGGGAAAGAAGGGATAGAGCGGGCCCCGTGCGTC